GAAAATGAAAAATCTCAAGTTGTTTGAGAACGTTGCGCAGGGCAATTGTGTGTTAAATTGGAAATGTCTTAATTGCACACTCCGTTCTCTATTTATAGCAGGAAGAACAAATCCTAACCATACTCGAACTAGGACTCCTTACCCCAATCCATCTTATCTCAGCCAATCCTACTTCTATTAGGATTTTGAATTCAACCTCTTATTAGGCCACATCCACTTCCATTTTTCGGTATCCTTATCTGGCCGAGAATCTTTACTGCATCAGGACTTAACCACTTCATTCATCTGCTTCGCAATAGGGCCCACCTACTTCCTATTCATCTGGACTAAGGGCTTGGCCGACTTTAGTTAGGCGGCCCATAAACCGGCTAGTTTGTAAAAATCCTCGAGCAAAGCTTCTGGGCAGAGAACAATTCCATACTCGGCCTAACCTAACAATTTTAGGTTCAAACAACTACGTAGTCACTTCACATTCATAAATTATAGTAATATCACGTCATCATAAAATAACATCACATCACAGTATGACAGTTACATTTACATTCTTTTGATATAGGCCAATTCGATTAATAATACATGGTTGTTATTAAAACCATCAATAATGTATTGTTCAAGTAATCAAATTGTCTTTACTCATCAGGAGGCAGTAGCATATAGTCTAAAGGGAAAGAGATTCTTTCTATCCGGATCTCTTCCACCACGGTCACCAGATCAAGTGATCCGAATCTTTGAAATTTCATCCAACGGTCAAAAGTTGTTATAGCTTTTAAGGGATCAAAACAGGTCGGCCGTTGAATGAGATTTCACAGACCCGGATCACTTGATCCGGTGGCCTTAGTGGAAGAGATCCTGAGAGGATCTCTTTCCATTCTAAGGTATATCATCTGACCTGGATCATTAGAAGCAGTTAAATAACCAATAGGATCCTCTCCAGATTTTCTTTGTGAAGATCCTGAGTATCGGTAAATCGTGTCCCTTCATTGTACATCGTGTGGTCAATTTTTGTAAACTACTGTTTATGTTTAATTTTAAATTAAAAAAAAATAAAATGATTTCTGACCGCATAAACATACAGGATTCATGGATTTCCAAAATTCTCACAAAGAGAATTCGGCGAGGATCCAGCAAAGATTCGGATTCGTTAAATAAAGTATTAATGTAGCAAGTTGTTATGGAACAGATTATTGTCATGGAACAAATATTCCTTTTTAATATGATTTGGACTTATTTGTTATTAGATTTCGTCATCGGAAAGGGATCATCTCCGGATCCCTTCCACCTAATCCTCCTCATCAAACAATCTGGGCCCTTGAAATTTGATCAAATGGCTAAAAACAGAGGCCCACTTTAAAAGTTATAATAACTTTAGCCGTTGGATCAAATTTCAAGGGTCCGGATTGTTTGATGAGGAGGATTAGTTGGAAGAGATCCGAAGAGGATCCCTGTTGTTCGTCATCAATTAGGTTCAGACATTCAAGAATCTTTTATTTTTTATTTTTTATTTTAATTGAACTTTTATTTGAGAAATTTCTCTTCCTAACTTATTTATGATTTTCCTCGGCCACCCAAATTTTTGAGGTAAGTGTTGGTAATAGGTTAAAACTGATGCGACAATTCATACTCGATCAGTCTTAATCTTTACTTCGTTTACAAAAACGAAAATGTGGTTCTTCTCAATTTTCCCACTAATTCCACGAACAATGTGGTTCTTCTCAATCTTCCAAATCAAAATTTTCTTTGGTCAAATGGAGTTAGGTGTGTGTACTTAAAATTGTAGGCGGTTCAAGTTTGAAATATGAAGACTATAAATTATGTTCTTGTTGACCCTAAAAATTACCTAGCCTACGTGGCGCGTATGCCAAGTAAATAATAAGCTAACTACGTTCTTCGGTCGAATGCGGGGCGTGCCAACTCATCGACCGAGCTCGGCCGAAGAGTAAAATATATTGATGTGGCGTTAGGCGCGCTGCTGACTTCTTGATCTCGCGACTGTGGTCAAGGAAGGAACACGTCTCGGCCTTTGGGTTCTAGAGCTTGAAGACAAGGCTGCTAGTTCTGCGAAATTCAATATTAAATTTGACTCTCAATGTGCCGAATGTAGTAACTTAGTAACACCTCACTTCGCCGAGAAGGCTAATTAGATGACCTCTTCTAACAAGGACTCGAAAACCCTTGTTGGCCGAGACTTGGATAAATAACCAATCCGTCTCAAAGCAATGTTGTTTAACCAAACTAAATGTGCTCCTTAGTCAACTGATTCTACAGCTTCGGTGCTATTTATCCAAACTGAAGATGTTGCCGGTTGCCTCTACAGTGCTGTTTATCCAAACTGAAGATGTGTTGGCGGGAAAAAAGAAAATAAAAATCTCAAGGTGTTTGAGAGGTTAACACTAGGCAATTGTGTGTTGAATTAGAGGGGCTTTGAATGATGCACACCCCTCTCTATTTATAGTAATGATTTCCTCCATGGCGAAGTATGATTTAGCTTGGACTAGATTCCTTACCCAATCTCATCAGGTCTCGACCAATCCTAACCCCTATAGACTCTGAACCAAGCTCTTTAATCACTCAAATTCATCCCTTGATTCTCGACATCTTTTCTGACTCAAAGCATCCTTAATTTTCTAGAATCCTCACTGTACTGGGATTTTTTACCCTTGAGGATATCTTTGAATGGGTGCATAATAAATTTTGTTCGAAAGGCTCTCTTCCTTGATCAATTTGAATGGCGTCCTGTGTTTTATGTCACCTATTGGTTCATCTGGTACTGGCATAATAAAAGCACTTTTAGAGTGATTTTGTCTTCCCAAGTGATCCCAAAATTATTATTTGCTCTTATTTTCGCATGGTTGCAAGCTAATATTATTACCACTCATAAGACACCTAGAACCCTTTGCTTCTTTTTTTCATTGGGAACAGCCTCCAGAAAGGTGGTTTAAACTCAATGTGGAAGGTTGCAGAAAAGGCTTTCTTGGTACTCTTAGGAACTCATTTGGAGCTTGGCATGTTGGGTTTTGTGTTAATCTTGAGCGTGGAGAGATTCTCAATGCTGTATTTTGGCAGATCTTCTTGGGATTACAAATTGCTTGGAATAAAGAGGTTGATGATTCCGTAATTGTTGTCCAACTAATATTACATGGTGCCACTGACATCATTCTCTTGGTGAATTGATTCATTGTCGTGCGATATTATATTGTGACTAGGAATGTAAGATTCAACATATCTATCGTGAGATGAATTTTGTTAGTGATGGGTTAGCCAACCTAAGCCCCTCTCATCCTTTGAGTCTAATCTCTTTTGAGCAAGCTCCATCTTCTTGTAAGCAATTATTATTGTCTAATATTTCTTGAATCTCTCGATCACGCGATATTATTTTGTGGTTCCTTTGTCGGGCTATTAGCCCCTTTGTTAAAAAAAAAAAAAAAGTAAGCATGTGATGGCACTTCTTTTCTCATTTTTCACTTCATTAATGGATTGTGAGAAATTAACATAACATAAAAACGAGTAATGTTGTTTAAACATACAAACGGACACATTTGTTGACACGTTTCTTAATACATATACAAATAAAAATCAAAGTAAAAAGCGAAAAGAAGACTATATACAACAAATAGATATCTTATGAGCTTACATAAAAAGTCACATATTGATAAATAACGACAATAAAACAGTGGCCAATGCTTGTGTGGAATGACGAGGCAGACGACGTGTACTTATCCGAATTAGATTCAAAAGTAAAACACGAGAATTCCAATTTGTATTCACTAAATTCCAAAACAAATTATTCCATTTGAGAAAATAGTTACGGATGGTTTGACAAATGAACTTAATTTTCATCGACCAAATGATGTATTTTTCACATTAATTGGAAAAATATCCATTCGTTTTGTTCCAATGAAGAAAACTGAAATAGGTTTGTATGAAACTGCTTACGAAAAAAGTTAGAATCACTTTCTGACAAACTAAAAGCACTTCTTATGATATTTGACGGGAAAACAAGTATCCTATAGAAAAACATGTTAATGCTTCTTCAGCAAGAACGGAATCAGAATTCTAAAGTGGGGTGAGTTGTTCAATTTTTTTTCTTTCTCATGGAAAAACAAGTATACGTATATACAAATTATTTCTTCCTCATGGACAAACCATAGATCTTAATGATTTTAAAAATTTAGAAGAGAAGTGAAAAATTGAGACAATTTTTATTTGCCAATAGAAGTTATTTTTACAGAAATGTTTCTACTGATTACGTTTCTATTAGAAGAACTTCGAAAGTTTCATAAAGAATGCAACGGCTTCTTGAAAAAGTATATTTTTAACGAAGCACATAATATGTTTTTATTCTAAAAAACGCTTGAAACGTTTTTCTTGCACCAAAAACTATATTGAATTTTTTTTGCCAAAGCACCTCTCGAAAAAACACATAGTAATCGCTTTGTACTTTGTTAATCTAAAACACTTTCAGTTATTTTCGATTTACATATTGCTTTTGGCGAATATGATTTTTATAGAAATTTCTAGGGTTTTCTAGTGAAATTGCAAGCCAAGCCGTTTTAAAAGCCGAGCCATAAAGAACTAACAAAAAGAAAAGGAACCAACGAAAGAAAAGCAGCAAGCAATCAGCCAGTGCGTAAAGCAAATCAGCGTTTTGTATCATCCGACTTCGTATTCTTTTGACGATAAAATTATATTTTTTTAATCTTTTTGAAAATGAATTGTTCTCGGTATTTCAAAAATCTCATTTTATACTTCAAATTTTCTATATTTAAAATGCCAAATAAAAATTTTAGAATGTAAATAACACTTCTCTTTTGAAAACTCGGTTTTCCAAAACAAAACCATCGAGCATGAGTCAAACAAAAATAAATTAATTAAAAGAAAATTAATTATTATAAATAAGTAAATAAATAAAAATATAAAAATACGAAAAAGGAAATTCTTATTTCTCATCGGAGACGTAGAAGACTATGGAGTTTGTAAACAACACACCTTTATAAATCCTTCTTCCTCCTCACAACTTCCTACTCAGCCATCTCTCTCTCTCTCTCTTCTTTCTCTCTCTAAATTTTCAAAGGTTTATTTTTCTGCGATATGCCGCAAGTCGATTTGGAAACACTAGTTTCGGCGTGCGCTGGTGGCTCAATGGATCGGAAAATCGCCTGCGAGACGCTGGCCGACGCCGCCACCGCCGGACACGGCCGGCCGGAGGATGACGTCGAGGAACCGGAAGTTCCGCCGGATTTGCCCCCGGAATCCTTCTGGCTCTCGAAAGACGCAGAGTACGACTGGTTCGACCGCAACGCCTTCTACGAGCGCAAAGACTCCACCAAGGGAAACTCCAACGCTAATAACTTGAATTCGAATCAAAATTCGCACTCGAATTCGAACTCGCAGCGGTTTTCGATGAACTTGAAGTCGAAGGCGGCGATCATCGGGCTTCCCAAGCCGCAGAAGCACAACTACGCCGACACGAAGAATCGGCGGCACTGCAAGGTCGGAAACACGAGGCTGTTTCCGAAACGGTCCGGATCCGTTGGAAAATCGGACGCTCCGATGATCGAGCCGTCGTCTCCGAAGGTCTCGTGTATGGGGAGGGTGAGATCGAAGAGGGATCGGAAGAAGCGTCGGGTCAGGAATCGGCACAGACAGTCGGCCGAGACGTCCATGGAAAAGTCCGTTAAACCGGTTTCCGAGAGACGAAAACTCGGTTTCTTCGCGAGTTTTCGGGCGATTTTTCGTCACGGCGGACACCGAGACAAATCGACAAAATCGCCGTTCGCGGACGACTTGCCTCCGAGAAACAGCAGCGTGAAGTCGACGAGAGCGCGCGACAGGGCGGCAGCGGACGATGTCGACTCGCTTCCAAGACACAGCGTGGAGAGCGAACCGCCCGGTTTGGGTGGCATGAAGCGGTTCGTTTCGGGTCGGAGGTCCGGATCGTGGGTGGGCGAAGGCGGTATCGACGTTGCGTAGTTGGTGGGCGTCTTGGAAAACTGAGAGGGATACGGTCACGAGGAAGCAGCAGGTGGGTTGCGGGCGTGATTGGTTGTCTGAGTGGGACCCGCTTCATCCTGTTTAAATTGTGGTTGGGATGACGTGGCACGTTGAATAACGGTTTCCCTCCATACCCGGGTTAGAGGTAAAACAGTCATTTCGGCTACAACGTTTTTCTTCGTTTTTTGTATTTTTTTTCACTTCATTAGTGTAGAAGGTTGTGTAAATATATATGCTTTTGGATTGAGAGTTGTAAATTTGCTTGTTATTTTGGATAATTCGGGTACAAAAATTGCATTTTCTATTGTCAAAAAACAGATACGACTCGAACTAATTTAACCTGCAGGAACGTAATTTAAACGCGGATTTATAAGTAAGAGCACATGCACACTTTTTGTACTCATGTCAATTTGGTTACGCACACATCAACTTGCTTTCAGTGAGTTAGGCACTTTTGCTGCGGCTAATTATTGTGATAATTAATTGATTATATATATAATTTTATTGATAATTTAACAGATTAGGATTCTTGGAAAAATCCAAGCATTGACCACATGTGAATCGGGGAGGGTGGGAACTTTAGTGGATGGCGGAAAAGGAGTTTTGGCCTACCACACTAGAACTTGTGTTGTCTTACCTACTTTTTCGAATTTGGTACTCTTTCTTTTCAAAATAATAAAGGTAGATGCTTGGGATCATTCTAATGGCGGGAGAAGGTATCCCTTGTAGAGGTGGATTGTCTGTCCTTCTATATCCATACTCTTTTTATGTTCTTTTATGATGTGTGGTCACGGTTAAGCCACGTTAATATTTTATATTAATTTTTTATAAAAATAATAAAACAAAAAGTAATAGAAATATAAAAAGTTGACGTGACTTAATTCTGACCACACAAACAAAAAGACATGAAAAGAGTATGGAAATAGGAAAGTAGAAGAATATGGAAATAGGAGGACAGACACTCCACCTCCATCCCTTTTAGAAGGTAAAAAATAGGGAAGTGGAACCTACAAGTACCATTTAATCAAACCATTGTACTAACGCCATCTCATCATCATCAAATGAAGGGAAGCATCATGAGAAATTCGAGAAAACTTTTGCTTCGTTTGAGCATTGTGTCAAACACTGATAGAGATAGATAAACGGCTAAAGTTGCATAGAAAAGCTTTGCTTTGTAGCACGACAATAGCTCCTTGTGTGAAATTTGTGTGACATATGTAACCTTTATGTTATGAGATCTAACTTGGTTTTTTGAAATTCAGATGTTTTATCATAAATCTTAATTAACAAATTTAAAATTTATGAAAATCTGACAGTTTGATCGCTGCATCATTTTCAAGTCATGATCATGCAGTTTCTTAAGACATATCGAATCTTATTGATCAGAAATTTTAGATTCATAGACATATCACTTATCATGTAACAATGAAAGTTACAGTTTTGATGATTTTAAAATTAACAAAAAAGAAGACTTGGAAATGTGCATCATCAAGTCTATGTTTGGGTTGTGGTCATCTATAAATAATTCGGCATTCTCGACTTTGAGAGAGGATTGACTAAATGATCACTCTCATTGAAAATGTCTACCTTGCCCGTCTAGCTGAATCGAGATTCCAGAGCCGACGAGTTGAAAATTTTGGATTATTCATTTAAGTCAGGTAGCTCTATTAATTCATCTCACTGATCCATCTCATACAAATCAAGTAATTCGGATCTTACTTTCCATCTTATGAGCAACCCGAATTACTCGTTCTTTGGCTCCAAACAACGAAACCTATGAAGGATCTGAATTCCGTCTAGCCATTGGAAAATGTAATACTTTCCTATTAAATATTAATATTAAATTTTGTGTTCTTGGAAAAAGTGGATCCAAAAACTAATTAAAAACTCAGCTACCCACTGTTTTTCAACATCCTTGAATCCTTGACCAGTACTTCGAATTGGCATGTCTGCTCTCTCTATGATTTCTTGACCAATGCTTTCTTGGCTTTGATTTGGACCCTGGTTTTAATCCCCACATTTTTATATATTTTCACTTTTTATGATTTCTTCCATTTACCCTAGAAAACAAAATTACTTGTGTTTTTTAATCAGGATTTTTTTAGAACAAGAAAAATGCTTTACCATTCTGATTGTTTTCTAAGGTTTTTTATTTATTTAATTTAATAAATTCGAGTGTGAAAAATACGGACTTTGGATATATTTCAAGATTAGGAATAGAAGTATCAGTAGACTTTAGTTGGTATCTTCAAACTTTTTACGGCAAAATTAAACTTATATTTTTCAGAGTACTACTAACAAAAGAAATTAATTTTATAAAATATGCGAGATCAATTTTTATACATTACAATATATTAGCTCTATTTTTCTTCTCCCTTTTGGGTTATAAAATATGGAATAGGATCCTCTATGACAATCCGTTCCTAATTTTCTATGTAATTTCTTCCCGAGTATGTGAACTGACTATTATGCCCTTAGAGGCAAGTGACGTGGACGTGTTTATTTCTCTCTCAATTTATTTTCGTGCTTCCGTAATTAATTTGTACATACTGTTATGAGTGTACGTGAATTTTTATCAATGTAGAAACACTATTACGAATAGATTTCAATTTCCTTTTACTGTAGAAAACCTGAAACCCTATCCCTTGTATGCTTTAAATCTACCTGTGCCCTCTCTCCTTTTTCTTCACTCACCAATCAACTCCCTCAAATCTCTCGCCAATCCCATCATTTCCCTCTACATGGCACCCAATCAGAAAAGCAAGAAAATATCTCACTCTCTCTCTTCCTTCTCTCTCCCTCCCGAAGCTCTCTTTCTCTGCAACTGCCATGAACGAGCACCAAAGCTCGTAGATCGAGCTTAAAAACCTCACCATTACGTTCATTTCTTCTTCACGAACTCAACCATACCAACCAACCTTAGTTTGACCGAGTTTTGGACGTCGAACTTGGAAGGTCCAAACTCAATGAGTTTGAGTTCATCATTTTTTAGGCTGGGTTAAGGAGTTTTGAAGGTCGAGAAAGCTTTCCCACAACTTCCCAAGACCTCTAGGACAATTTTGAAGAAGCTTGGACGTCGAAACAACAGAGTTTCGAGGAGTTCACTTTTGGCCAGAACTTTCGAGGTGATTTCCGACATCTCCATCCACTTTTTGGACTCCAAAGAGATACAACGCGATTCTACTCTTTATAAGCTTCAAATCCATATAAAGTAGGTCGAAAATGGTTGAGAAATGAAGAAGTTATGCAAGTTTCAAAATTTTCCAGAAAATGGGTGAGATTCGAGTTGCAGATGGCGGCACCGGCAGTGGAGGACAGCGGAGGACAACGGAGATCGTCGGAGAAGACAGGGAATATTCCGTCAAAGTCAACATAATATTCTAATAGCGTCAGGTAATGCCGTTAATCTTTGTTAAGCTTTTAATGGAATATTCTTAATGGTGTCAGTCAAACTGATGGCACGTGCTTGGGCTGGGGGCACGTCTAGCCATGCCTTGGCCAGCACTTGTGGGCACGTGCATGGTCCAAAAATTTATCTGAAGAATTGTGTAGGTCCTTGACGTCGAGTAGATCTATTTCATGTATTTAAACCCTAGGTTTGAGCAAACTATGGGGGTTTTATTTAAGTTTCCACATATTTGCTTTAAATAATTCTATTATAGTTATTTCACATATACGGGAAACATATCCCAAGGACATACGAGGTCAGGTTAGGCATGGGGTCTACGACCCAGCGATGTACTTGTGAGTGGCAGTTTATTTTATACCTATACATATTTATAATTTCCCTAAATGCGTAGTTACTTCACTTTTACGCTTATAATGCCAAGTATTCATTATTGTGATATAAATTGTGATAACTGCTGCTATATGGTTGGGATATTACTGTCATGACATTCATACATATTTGTACATGCTCATTTGTTGCACCCCGATGTTAGTACTCCGCCCAGGGCCAGGGCCAATCATTTACATGTATGTTCACATCTGCACCATTCGCTCCCCCTTGGATCTAAGTTTTGTGCTAGTCCTGTCGTACAGATTGCATAGGAAATTCCAACTCGTATGTGACCGCGCCTCGACGCCAATCTTCACATGATCGTAGTACTAGAGCGTATTGATTATACCCAGTTCTGTCATACAGGTTGCATTATGCAACTCCGACTCATGTGCTAGCATAGATTGATGAGCCATTGATTATACTTGCTTATCACATAATTATATTATTGTGGCATTTGATACATCATGACTTGGCATATTTCTGGTTATAAATGTTGGTGTATTATTGTTTACATACTTACGTGGTATGTTTTAAGGAAACTATAATTGTTTTAAGGCAAGGGGTTAGGATGTTCAAAAATAAAGGTTTTCATATGACCGTTGTTTTGCTGGCCCACTCAACTTTGTTTTTTGCCCCCCCCCCAGGACCTAGATAGCTGATTTCTTCGTGGCACTTGAGGAACCTTTGGCAGTTCTGACATTATCTTCGATTTAGACATACATCACAGTTGTGTAATAAGTGTACTTTAGCTACTCTGACTACTCTTTGGTAGTCGTACTGTCTTTTAAGCTCTGAATAATTGTAGTGGATTATTCCTACGATTGCGCACTCTTTCAGTGATTAGTATAATTAGTTCAAATTAGTTTTAAATTTATTCACTTTTTCACATCACATACCCTTAGAGCACTTCCATTGGGGGTGGGATAGGCCAACACACAGCCAAAAAAATGGGCCAGCACCTAGGGAACTCTCTCCAAGCCAGCCCAAAATTGACAGATCTTGGGACCGGCCCATCTGACGCCATGCTGATGTCAGTCACTTTTTTTTTTTGCACCTGAAAGCGATGGCCCTAGTTCGTTGGAAAATCTGAAAAAAAAAATGCACCGACAACATGTTTGCACCAACGCAAAGGTTTCCAACACAATTTATAAGTTAGCAACCATAAGAATAGGATTGAGAACTTACCCAGGTGCAATGCAAGATATTTCACCGAGAATTGGACCTTGAACTCGTTGGAGTTTGTCCGTTTTCCTTTGTCAGAATCACATGCAAGGAATTAAGCCCTCAAATTAACCACAAAAATTGCAACACAACAGGATTTAAAGCTCAAGAACACAATACCGTGATAGAAACATCACCTGGGTTAGAGATTGAGAGCTCAACCTCTCGGCTTCAATGGTAGGACCTCGCACCATGCACCGATGTCGCATGCAAAGCCATGGTTGGGTTCCTTGAGCTCCAGGGATTACAAAAATAATATTTTGTGTTTGATTTGTTGAAGGGTTTGAAGAGGAAG